ACAAGATCGAGGCAGTTCATTTGTCGGCCCTCGCAAACTCTCGTTGGAAATATTAAGTGAAAAGGAGATTGTCGGAGCTACACAGTAGCTGCTGGCCGAATGCTGTTTCAGTGCAGTTTGCTGATGCCGAGCTACAGGATAACACTGGAAGTAGATGGAATTTTCCACCGAGTGAGTAAAAGGATAAATACCCATGTTGTCTAAGTAAAATAATCGGATTTTTGAAGGCAAAGAAAATCGATGGGAAAAATTCATGCTAATTTGAAGTCACTTTTTACGGAGTGTGATTTCTGCATGCGGTAGGAATGATGTTCATTCTAAAGCCGGCATCCTGACGTAACTGACGTAACTGCCGGATAATTAGTTTTAAAACACCACTTAATTAGTATTTTCGAAACGAAAACGGACTTCAGAATTTTTGTTAACATTTCATGACTAAGCACACTTATTGCAGTTTAACTTAAGTTGGCATAATTAAGCGTCACGCGGACGGCCGCATTAGCGTGCAGTAGCAAACACCTACAGTGCGTGACCTATCTCATGAAATGTTGGCTGAAATTCTGAAGTGCGTTTTCGATTAGGAAGGATTACTTGGTCGCGGTTGTGATATTAAGTATCTTAAGGCATTTTCTTATGACAGTTTGGATTCGGCAGGATGTCAGCTTTTAAATGCACTTCTTTTCAATCTCCTGTACAAATCGTGCTCGGTAAAAAAGACTACTTCAGTAGCATGCATTTGTCCCATTGATTTTCGATGGTCTTTAAAATTCAAATATATTTTGTAGAAACCACAAATAAAAATATGCTTTCTTTTACTCAATCAATAGAGAATCACGTCTAGTTTATGTTTTATACTTAAAAAGGAGTATAATTAGGTTTTAAAAAAGTTTCCAATTATGAGACTTTTTTAAGACTGCGGTATGTCCATTCACATAGCAACGTACCTGGCCGTTTACCACTGCTCCTCGTAAAATGTACAACATAGTCCGCATCCATTGCAAAATTTTATGTACCCTGCATGATACCTCTTTAATGACATAGAAAAATATGGGATTTTCTTTACGCGGAACGCATGCAACTTGGAGAGTGTAATCACTAAGCGCTAATGCAACGAATGATCAGGCTCCAAATTTTTCGGCAATTAGAACACTTTTTAAAACCTAATTATCCTTCTTCCTTAAATATGAAATATAAATAAGAAGTGATTCTCTATTGATTGACTAAAAGAAAGCATATTTTTGTTTGTGGTTTTTATAAAATATATTTGAATTTCCAAGACCATCGAAAATAAATGAAAAAAAATGCATGCTAGTTAAATAGTCATTTTTTTCCGAGCATGCTTTCTACAGGAGATTAAAAAGAAGTGCATTTAAAAGTCGACATCCTGCCGAATCCAAACTGTTATACGAGTATGCCTTAAAATAATAAGTATTACAACCGCGACCAAGTAATCCTTCCTAATCGAAAACGCATTTCAGAATTTCAGCCAACATAGGTCACGCACTGTAACTTTGTGTGAATTTTAATATTCAACGTTCGGGCGAGCAAGACGCATTATATCACAAACTGCAGATATGTACTGATTTGTAAATGTTGGCTCTATGCCGAATAAATGTAGGCCTAAGTTAACATATGAAGATGTTTTGAGACGTGGCTAAACTTCTGCGTCACCTATCTTGAACCCTCACAGCATCCGCACGAAATCTACTGAAAGGGCATATCGCATCCAATAGCGGCATACGTAACTGTACGGTTTAATTTTTTCCCGCGGCGATTCAGGGTGAGATGAGTATCCAGAGATACGAGGATGTCCGCCTTAATGTACACTCTCGGGATGAGCAAATATTCATGAAGTCTCTTTGACGATATTCTTAAATAAGATTTTTGACACCATTGTACAGATCGTTGGGTAAAAATTTGAAGAGAATTTTTTTACAATTTCCTCATTCGTTTAGTAAATCTCCGTCATTATGGCGCCTAGAATATTCATCCAATACCCTGTTGCGTCAAGGTCATCCACAGTAGCAGCGCTGAACTTACGGACAGTAAAGAATGCTCACAGGAGCATTCCACGGTTGGAGAAGTCCAGGTTTGAAGATGCCAGTGCTCGGTTAAAGCAACGTCCAGCACTTGTAAGTATATCATGAGAATCACACTGGGGAGTACTCATCGCTGTCTGGGTTTTATTTCCGAAAAGGCTGAGTTTCCCTGCAGTCGGCAACTCCCCAAACCAGTTCTTATATCGCCACCGTAAACTTGAGCTAATTAGTTCCATTATAGCGAGGGGTATGCAGATCCATCAAGATTGTGCATTTCCAATGCGGAACTCTGTCTCCCTCCGTCTTCAGTGCAACCACCACCTGTCAACGACTGTTAGCCCATTAACGGTGAAGTAGGCGATGTGTGCAGAGACACACATCGGTTATGTATGTGCGTGGATTAGTATTAGGGTAGTTCCAGTAGGGTGCAGCTTTTGATTTACACTCTCAATGCCGCTGGAATTGACCCTACAGCCAACCAGGCTGATGTGGTTTTTCAAATAATTTGACTTTTTAAAAAGTCCCATAATTATTGATTTTGCAAACCGACGCCCGCGAACCTTATTTTTTCGAACGCAGTGGCAAGGTAATAGTGGGGAAGTCTAATCAACCCTCTCATTTCCATGTATGCGCTGGACACGAAAGGGCGCGTATTTATATTAATATTATTTATATTTGTCCATGGTTTAATATCTTTCTACTATTATAAGTGTGAACGCGGGTGACGCTCTACGTAGTATGGTGTTACTTCAACTGCCGATGACCTGTCCACTTCATTTTCAAGTTACGCGATTTTGGAAACAAGACCTGCCCCTAAATATTTTACCGAACGCACGAAAGGGTGGCCTTTTTGCGGTAACTAAAATTTGTATTTGCAGCAGGTAGCCAAATGTCAGAACGTGCGAACGAGGGACTGCCTTCAGACGTTATCGCTGCTTGTTCGTCGAACTTCTACGTCGTTCTTCTATGGGATTACTCGCTTTTCTCCATGCCCAAGAAACCCGGGACAGTTAAAAGAAACCTTTGGCGCGGGGATTTCGACCAAATGAGGGCTGAAATTTTACGCCTTGAGTGGGAGTCCATATTTGTTGGGAGCATACTCGAAGACTGGCAACGGTTCCGAGAAATTCTGCACGAGCTGATCGTAAACCACTGTCCGCTTTCACGGAAGAGGTTAACTAACAGACCTCGATGGCTTACGCAAGCCTTGAAGAATGAAGTGAATAAAAAACGACGGCTGTGGAAAAAATCGCTTTCTGACAGGAGCCCCACATCTATATGCGCGTACAAAATTCAAAGAAATCGAGTCAAGGGTCTTATCCTTAAAACTAGAAAGGAATTCGAACGGGATCTGCTTAACCGTGCCGCGGAGAACCCTAAATTATTCTACGGTTACATTAGGCAGTGCACGCGGAACAAGGACCCAATACCCCTGCTAAGGACTGCTGAAGGCGAACATCTCACTGACGACAGGGCGAAAGCTGATCACCTTTCAGAATTTTTTCGGTCTGTTTTTAGTAGCGAAACAGGATTCAACCCTTCGGCCCTTCAATACTTCGAAGACACCCCAATTATAGAGACCGTCCAGTTCACTGAGGGTATGGTTCTGACGGAGTTGCTGAGGCTAAAGGAATCCAAATCACCAGGTCCCGATGAGATTCCGGCGAAGATTTTGAAGGAACTCGCCGGTGAGTTGTCTAAGCCACTCTCCATGCTTTTCCATACATCCTTCGAGACCGGATATCTGCCACCCGACTGGAAGTCGGCGTGGATTACGCCGCTGTACAAGGGCGGAAGTCGGGTCTCTGCGAACAATTACAGACCGGTCAGCCTCACCTCCATTTGCTGTAAGATTATGGAGAAGATAATAAAGCAACAACTAATGCAGTTCCTTGAACAAAACCATTTGCTTTCCGATTCTCAGCATGGATTCCGAAAAGGCAGATCCTGTGTGACAAACCTGCTCTACTGTCTGGAACACTGGACTAGGGCTGTTGATAGAGGAGATATGGTGCATGCCATCTATATCGACTTTAAAAAGGCCTTCGATAGTGTGCCTCACCACCGCCTTCTATACAAACTTAGCCGTGCAGGAGTGCGAGGTAAGCTTCTCAAGCCGTCCACGTCGGTGACCAACAATCTGCCGAGGTTGCCGTTAAGAGTGGTGTTCCCCAAGGCTCTGTTCTTGGCCCTACGCTGTTCCTCGTATACGTCAATGACTGCGCAAACGAACTGAATTGCGATGTCGCAATGTTTGCCGATGACATAAAGATTTGGAGTACCATACGAAGCGAAGTTGACGAGGCGCGACTGCAGACAAGTCTGGACCACCTCGAGCAATGGTCGAAAGACTGGCTTCTACCGTTCAACGTAAACAAGTGTACTTTCCTACGCGTCGGCAGAACCAGTTCTCCTAACCACACGGTCTACCGTCTGACTGGCAAACCACTGCAAGAAGTCGACGCCCAGAAGGACTTGGGTGTATGGATCACAACCTCGCTTAAGCCTTCGCTGCAATGTTCAAAGGTGGCCAAGTCGGCGATGTCCATGCTATACCTTGTCAAACGGGCGTTCTCCTCCTTTGATGAAGACTGCTTCGCCAAGGTCTTTCAAACTTTTGTGCGACCGCATCTGGAGTTTGCTATCCAAGCATGGCGACCCTGGACCGCTAAAGACTTGGGCATACTCGAAAAAGTTCAACGGCGAGCAACGAAACTTGTATCTGGGCAGTGGTTACTACCTTACGAAACGCGATTAGCTAATCTTGACCTCTTTCCTTTGAGTTACAGACAGCTACGTGGGGACCTGATACAAGCTTTCCGCATCGTGCGCAATCAGGGCTGTTGCCTCGCGTTTGGAGACTTCTTCGAGTTGGCGACTACGACTAACCTGAGAGGCCATCCACTCAAACTGCGTGTGGCTGGTGTCCGGCTAGACACCCGAAAGTTCTTCTTCTCAAACAGAGTGGTTGCAGCTTGGAACGCCTTGCCTGAGGATTTTGTTATGTCAGGCTCGGTAGATACTTTTAAATGGAGACTAGATCAGCATTGTAGCGCGCACCACAATAACGCCGGAGTACGGCCACCTTGACAGCCAACGCTGTCAATTTAGTGTTATAACGATGCTACTACCAACATTTAAGTAATATGTGTTTATGTTATTTATTAAGCTTGGGCCACGTCGCACACCGCTGTTCGCATTCACCACGATGCCTGTAGACTAAACAATTTTACTTCTTTTCCCGTGTCTTAAGTGTGCCTCAACTGTCCGCTGTATTTTGACCAACAGAGCAAGTTAATGTGCCTCTAAACTCTGTTAACGCATGACATTCTGTGTTCATCTGTACAGTTTTTGCTATTCCCCTCGCATTTCTTTCATGTTACTTCCTTTCCATTTCCTCCATATATATCCTCTGCATGTAACCAATAGGGATTTCAAAGGTACACACCTACTTTCCCTGAAATATACTGATACTGATACTGAACTGAACGTTCAACATCGATAAATACCTGATTTTATAAAAAACAGCCTTCTTGTTTTTTCCATGCTCCATGTGAGTTCCACAGGTTATTTGACAAAACTTTACAAGTCAAATTACCCTCTACCAATAGAAGAACACCCACGAATGCAGAACCTCAGTCTATGACAGATGTTGCATAGGGAACTGCCTGAATACCAGGCTCCGTAGACGTCCGCTCCAATTTTTAAACTTTTCTCACGCCTTATGAGATCGTGATAGTTTTGTGAAATATTAGGCTGGGGACATGAAATTAAGCGCCCGAAGTATGATTTCTACGACAGAACACCAAATTTGGATGAAAATGTGAGTCGAAGATAATCAAATACTGTTGAATATTTACTTAATGTCTATTTTAAAAACAAGCCTGACACTGCCTTTACCACACATCCGACATAGGCACAAGTTAACAGCCCAGACACGTGTTCTGGCGACGATTCCGTTGCTGATTAGGGCATCCGTGAAAGACCCGGCTACTCAGTGTAACACTTGAACCTCAAGCTCCAACCACTTGACTCCAAATCCTGAAATTAATAGTTTCAGCTTGATTTTCCCCTGGAGTTCATATACCGGGAGCAGCATGTGGGAGCATGTAGACTCGGCTGGATAGCCGTGAGCACTCGCATCTGCGCGATGTAGTAACAGACTCGTCGGCGAAACGCGTGTCTGGGTTTTCAACTTTCGATATGCGTTGATTAGACAGACTCTGTGTCTTCGTGCAGGTGAGGTCATGGCAAATGGAATAACTGTGGGCGGCTATGAGAAGGTGGAAACTTGAAATAACCCAAGAGACTAACCTGTATGCAGCAAGTGTCACTTATATGCACCACGGTGACACTGTGAGCATGTGGGTGGCTCACAAGTGTAGAGGATAGAAAGTACCTTCAGTAGGATGTGTTCATCAACACCTCTTAATTATGATGTCCAGTCTACATATCAGATAGTTTTTTTAGATTAAAAAGCGAAAGTGTTAATCGATCAGTTGTGGTTAACTAGTCCCACCATACGATCCCGGCGGTTGTAGGGTTTATTGCATGTGAGACAGGGGAAAATCACATACGACGGGGTCAGGCGACAGAAGAGCAATTGGGAATGTGTGGTTTTAATTTGATCGGTTAAGAGGCAGTTTACCTAACGCCTCACACTGACCATAACCTCTAGCCCCAACCCGCAACTCTAACACCTAGTCCCAACCCCAATCCCCGACAATTAACCCTAATCCCTAACAACACATCTTGATCATAGCCCCTAACCACAACAGTATTGTGTACATCTGATGAGGCTACATAAGTACATTTTCAAGGTAGAGCCTGACGGTTTCTCTCTACACTTACCTCAGACTAGAATACTGGTGCATTTCTTTGTCTGTGCTTGCAAGCAGGAGGTCCGGATGCGTAAAAAACATCTTTGAATTCGGCATGTGAAGGATAAAAAATAAAATGTGTCCAGTTTTAATTTATATTGAAGACAGATTGAAGCTTTGAATTGTGTATGCAAAGAGACAGCACACGCATAATCGTAAATATTGTAAGGTACAAGCTGCATTTACACCGTTGCAATGAGCTGGATGTTTAGTTAAGTTTGGGCCACTCGAGAAAATGTGTGGGATACATCAAGATGGGTGCGCCGTCGTAGGCCAGAAATCGGTAGGTTTCTTTTTTCCCAGCGTCATATGTCAGAGAAAAGACTAGGTTCTCAGTCTTCACACGTCCCGTTACCCGCATGATTTTATAGTTCTCACCGTCGACTTGTCCTTAAATGGAAAATGAAATAAGCCATCTGCGCCAGATCTTGAGTATAGTAACGTGAAGAGCAACTTACCATAGGGAATAATTATTTTCAGTCCCTTCCTGCCTGATGACGACCCATACCTGCCAATATTTCCCAGTAGCATGATCTCCTTAAAATTGGAAATTTGGTTCATTTAAAACTTCGTATCTCAATCGGGATTTTGATTGTAAATGTAAATGTAAATTTACAGAAGACTAACAGTATAAATGAAATGACTGTGGTGTTTTGGTACCTTTATATTTTCATCCATGACCACAGAAATTGGTTTCGAATAGGCCGGGTGTGAGACAATGGGTTTTACGTAATGGACATCAGGGATCTCTGATAACATAAGAAAAATCTGAGTTGTGGAATTGAAATGACATATATTTGAGGAAGATTTTCTTGCTGTTTGGTTTCATTAACGATTATCAGATATCACGACTTTATATAAAGTGGGGCATTTTGAATATATACCTGGGAAGAATTCCCCTTCGTTCACTACGACGATCGCAATTTTTGCCTTTTCGGGATTTTCGGGTGTGAGAATAACCACAGAATAATTTTGGTAAGTTCAGTCTTTGATCAGAAAACTCCTTCTTCCTTTTTTCCGAAAAAAAGAATTCATGAATTAGCTATCTTTAATATTTGATATCACTATATGCAGACTACCATAAGTGATCTGACCATCGATTCGAAAAAAAACCCGCAATTAATGTCCTTTGTTTCGTGGGTGTGTTCGTGTTTGCGAATTTGAAGTGACAAATTGTAAAAGACTCAACAACTCACTTGGATAGAATTCTACACATTTAGTCGCAGGTTCGCAGGGATGTCCTCCTGTTCGATGCACAAATCCTGATTCGGATGACTTGAACTGTACATACAGTACCTGTGCTAACTCATGAAATGTCACGAATTAACACAGGTTAACGCCTTTAACGCAAAATCGGTAAACACTGCGGCTCTCAAAGTCTGATAGCGGAAAATAAACGATGTGCCAAAGAAATAAAGCAAAGTTTGGTTAAGAAAATATTATTTACTGAGATAAAAATAAATAATTTTCGACAAAAGTCACATTTTCGAGAAACGCCTATATTACAACCCAGTTAATAAAGGCTACGTATGAGGACGTATAAAGGAGGAGGGCGCATAAAAGGTCAAAAATAATTAAGGACAGAAACAGATACAAAAAATTAGTACTTTGTAGATTGTCCATTCGAATTAATAACAGCAGAAAGTCTGTCCGACATAGACATGACAAGCTTATCTATGGTGGATTGTAAAATGTAATTATTGAGTATGAAATCCAATTTTTCCTGCATTGAAAGAGTCTTCTTAGCTTTGTGCCAATTTCTTTTGACTATTCCAAAAAGATTTTCGATTGGATTAAGGTCGGGACTGTTGGCCGGGATGAAAATGGATTGGAGGCCAATTGCGGAGAGCGTGGTTGTTGTCTAAAATGTTAGATTATGTTTGCAAGCGGCATCAAATTCGTACCTCTTTAGAGCGGTGGACAGGTGCATTGTCCTGCAAAATTACAGTATCCATTCGGCGCCGACTTATGCCGTTGTAGCCGAAAGCATCCTTGACAATTGCAATGAACACCTTGCTGTTGATGGTGTCGGATGTTGACCGCCAGACAGGCCGCTCACCGAATTTAATCGCCATCCAAACCATCATCCGCCGACAGTTCTTGAATGTTGCCGTCGGTGTAGTATGTTCTCTTGGGAAGTTCTTTCCACATATGACAGTTTGGAGCGACTTCGTAGGCTTGTCTAAAAATAGAACCTCATCGCTGAAGAAAATGCTCTTCCAAAATGAAGATCTGTATTCAATATAATTCTTAGCAAATAAAAGCCGTTCTCTAATTAGTTTTCTACTTAAATATGGCTTAATCATGGCCTTCCGCCGCTGCAGTTCAAATTCCTTCATCCTTTTTCTAATGATGTTCATAGAAAACATCGGCAGATGTTCCCGCTGAATGGCCTCAATGGGCATGTAATGAAACTTTTTTAATGTACGACGAATAAAATCGTCGTCTTGCTTACTTGTGGACCGTCTTGGTCCCCCTATCTTATTTCTAGGAACAGTTTTATCATTAATAATGCGCCACAGAGTGACCTTGCTAATATTGAAAATATTAGCTAACGACTCACGCGGGATTCCTTCCGCCGCTAATTTTCGAATGCGCTGGAAGTCAACTTCGGATAAGTATTGTTTAGACATAGTTATCGTTTGGCGTGGCAGAGCAAAGTGACGGCATGTCGCGCGAACTCAATATATATTCGTTTACGACACGCATTTTCAGTCTGGTAAAACAATCACACTGATAAACTTTTTTATTTCGGTATTTTGAAACATAAAACTTTACGAATTTGTAAAATAGAATTTTTAGATAAAGAATCGCACGTTATTTCCTGAACACAATAAGAAATAATTTATCTGCATTTCCCTGATTTTGTTGATATTGAAATTTAATTTTTTCTTTTTGTTCGAAAGTTTATCAAAAAATTTCGTCTTTTTATTAATCTTCTTAAACAGATTAATAAAGTTACACAAAGAATTTCCATCCGAAAGCTTTAATAGCGTAGGAAACTGCTTGAATATCAGGAATCCTCCGATTTCGCCTTGATCCGGCCCGTTTTCTATTTAATATACAGATCCGTATCAAACTTTCCTTCAGAAAACGGTCTTTTCGTACTTATTTCAACCAAATAAACACAAATAACGACACCAAAAATACACTACATTGTCCACTATAATTTTGACCTCGGCATTTCATGAGTTAGCACAGGTACTGTACTAAGCCACAGTAATATTTCGCCAACCACGTTCCGCGCAAGTCCCACGTTGCTGACTCGGCTTACCAAACGACAGTTCATAGTTACAACGGACTGTAACACGTACACGCGCGCTCACGGAAAACTCCTGCCAACGCAGTGATGCAGTCGCATTTGCTTCTCCTTTATATTCAGTGTTTTGGCCTACTAATCCTACTTTTTCTTCAGTCATTACGCTGAGCAACGCGAATGATTTACTAAGTTCACGACCTCCTAGCCTGGTGGATATAGCAAAATGTAGAGACTTAAGAAGTTACTGGAGTTTTCTGCAAGTTGTAGTCTTCTACCGATATGTGTCGTTGTAATAACTGTCTAAATGTTAAAGGCAAGGAAAATCTAGGACTCTATCCATACGAATTTAAATGGTATTTCTGCTATTCACAAATCATAAGTGTAAAGATCGGAAAAGGTTTATGGAAAAGTACCAGGTCAGCTAAGTTACGGTTTGTTCTAGCAAGCCTATTTAATGCGTTGCGAAAACTAAACCGTGTAGGCATTCTGAGGATGCAGAAGTTATCGACAAGGAACCCGCGCAATTGACCGATGGACCTCAATTTTAAGACCACTTACAACGAAAGATGTCAGTTAAATTGATTCGAAACCTTCGCTGTCAGGAGAGGAGTAGAGGCTCAGACCCAGGCTGACTGGAGCAGTACCGAACACAACAAACGAAGCTTGACACCCCTACTTTCAACTAATCAGTAGGCAATTGTAAATATTGTCGCATCTGAGGTAGCATATTGCGTCCACGCCAGAGTTTCCTAATACGAAGTATATCAGTTGACAATAAATGTAATGCGTTTAACTTCTCAGTCATTATATTTTTATGACTAGACTGGGACTTTTAGAAAATATAGGCTGCATTATCGAAGTTTGGGATTGTAGAACGGGCGGTCCTGCTTGTCTATATAATATATGTCACTCGGCACGTAATTATCTAAAGGTAGCGGGGGTTAGATGGTAGTTGGTAGCCCTCACGTTACCGAAAAAAAACCCAACTACCTGTTTTACGGGACCGGTGGTAATAGGGGCTATACGGGTGGGGAAAATGAGTGGAGGCGTAAATGGCGCTTGTAGTGTATGCCTGGAATTGACGCTCCTGGTAAAGTCGAAGCCTAATTTAAATAAGGTGAAAAATGAAAGGAGGATATATAAATAAGCGTGGATAATTAGTACGGTATGCGGAATAAATGCATCCTTGCCCCAGATTGGAAAGAATAGCAAGCGAAGGCGAACAACCAATAGGAAGAACGCAGTGTGTCTTTAGGTCATTCCGCAGTATGTGCGATAGTACTCTAACCGACAGAATAGACATGAGAACACGAGAGTCAAGTAGCGGCACGCAGGACGCCACAACGCAAGCGGGGTAAGACATTAATGCGAAAAATATGTTTGGGCGAAAGAGAAAATCTGCAAATAATAGTGTATTGTCACTGTGGCCACATCTAGGATTAAAACTATTGCAGTAGTTGTTTGCTATACGTGAATGGTGTACTTTACAATGTAAAGACGAATTTGCACTCTGTATATGAAGTTATACTTTGTTCTGCTTGAAGAGCCCAGTCTTATAGAAGGCGGAGGAAAGCAGGACCGCAAGTGCATAGGCCGACAGATTATTCGCGGATCCTGGAAATTATCCAGTCGTCCTACCTAGTGCAGTATCTCTAACAAAAAGGACTACTGACCTGTAGGGTCTTATGTAGATGTCGAAATACTGCGACAGCCCACGGATGGTTATGCCTTCAGATAACATCTGGGTACTGTGGTATGCAGCCTAGGATAGTACCTCTAAAATGAATCAGATACAGGTAACACAGTGCGCGCATGCAATTACAAGCATAATGAGAAGCATGATGAATCATAATATGTCTAGGATAAATCTTTCGCCCTTTACTAAAGATTTCCGTGTGGGGGTGCAATACAGTGAGTCTATAGAGACATTTCTGCAGTGCCTCGTTCTCGGGGCGGATAGAGTGAAGAAGAAATTCATCCTGACAGGGCTTCTGCGCGTGCACTCCCAGACATAATAAGAACGTAATCACAGAGCTTGAAATCTAGCCAGTAAATGCAATTGAAGAATGAGTGGGCAGGGCTACCCCCTAACATCCTACCGTAGCGGGTGTCACTCAGGTATGCTTATGACTTGATACATGTTTTATGACCGTTTATGTTTTACATGAATTAATAGGTAATAGCATAAGAAGCAAAAATTCGCTATATAAATCAAACCCCCAAAGCAGGCATAGTGTATTTCTGAGAACTGAATCTACTCGGTTACCGGACATTTTCGCGTTTTCGTTCTCGCTGCTTTTCTTGAGTGCATTTTTATTGCAGAGCATTTAATACTGCATCTGCCGGTAAGGATATAGTAAGTAAACCCCTCGGAAAACCTTGTTTAACTACGATCCTAATGTCAAACATGATCATGACTGTGATTGGTAACCCGAAGCGTTAGCCCGAAAGCATTTAAGGAAAGCTTGAGTGTCACCGCAACCTTGACCCAAGGCCATAAGCCCCTAACGCAAGCCCTAAAAACCTTGTCAAAATAAGCATACCAAAAACCCAAGGCAAAATTGAAACGCATTGCAAAAGTGGGACTTCAGATCTGTAAAAACAGCCAAGAATCCCAACTGCGGGATAATTCTGCAAAGCATGTGACTTGGTATCTCTCATCAGTTAGTTTCCTAAAACACTCAGAACCAAGATGAAGGCGCATAAGCTAGCGTCAAGTGTTTCTTAATAAAACATGGAAAAAAGTGTTCCTGTGTATGTGCGCGAGGCAGCGACTTAGGCAAATCACTGGTTGCATTGTGTGATGATATGCCGATGCCCGCACAGGCAAAAACGCGAACAAAACAACTGTCAAAATAATGTACAATACAAAAACATAACGCCCAATGAAAACAGTCTGATCGTCAAGGGCGAGGCCACCTGTTGGATAGTGAACTGGACCCTTCATTAGCATGGTATAAATACATTCATACATTCATATATAGTCCAAATTTTAAAATAATTCGTGAAATCTGAAGCTCGCTGATAAAACCAAACAGCAGGGACATCTACATCAAACATATATCATTTCAATTTCACAAATCACATTTCTCATATTTTGTCAGAGATCTGCGGTGTCCATTACATAATACCCATTGTCGCACAACGGGGCCATGCGAGACTACTTGCTGTTGTCATGGATGAAAATATAAAGGTACCAAAAGACCACACTCATTTCAATTATGCTGAAATATTTTTGAGATTTACATCTGACTTAGTTATTCATCTGTCCAGATCATGATTGAAGCGCAAAATGTTAAATAACCAATTATCTTTTTTCAAGGAGATCAGGCTGTTGGGAAATATTAGCAGATATGGAACGTCTTCAAGCAGAAATGGGCTGAAAATAATTATTCCCTATGGTAAGTTGCGCTCTACGTTGCAATGCTCAAGATCTGACGGAGATGATTAATTTCACTTTCTTTTTAAGAACAAGCCGACTGTAAGAACTATAAAATCATGCGAGTAACAGGACGTGCGGAGACAGAGAACCTAGCCTTTTCTCTGAAAGATGACGCTGGGAAGAAAAAAACCTACCACTTTCTGGTCTCCGAGGGCGCACCCATCTTGATGTATCCCACACATTTTCTCAAATGGCCCAACATGTACAAAACATCAGGCTCATTGCAAAACTTTAAATGCAGCCTGTTTCTTAAAATATTTCCGATTTTGGGTGCGTTTTTATACAGCAAGTAAAAAGCCGTCTCATTGGAGGCGTATTTCAAAGCTTTCATCATTCCTTAATAGAAATGACAACTGGACAATCTTTATTCTTCTACCATTCGCATTAATTATTGAAAGATTTTTTGAAGGCATCCGGGCAGGTTGAATTTGAGCTTTTAATTCGACCAAAATGCCGTTATAAAATTGGATTGAAGTTGGCAGCATGACTGATAAGCCTAGCAACTAGTGGATGGTGAGTAAGTTGGCGGAATAATCCGATGTAACCATGTTCGTCACGCTTGGTGTGAGTCAGCAGTCCAGTTTGAGGTAATTGTGGAGGGCAGACGTCACGCCGTATTCCAAAGGAAGATTAAGCTTGTCAGTCCGAACGTTGACAAGATGTAAATACATACCTATAGTATTAAAAATGTACTCCCCATGTGGTATATGACAAGGTGCGGAGGCGTTCGGTAGGAGACCTTTATGAAAGCTCTGACGTTTTGAATAGTTACTTCGGTCGGATTTTATTTTATATCCGCACCTGCAATAGACAAGCCCCCGCCACCTATCATACGGGAGCGGGTGTAATAGAGAGTTTAACACTAACCCGTACTCTAACCCCTAACCCAAAAACATAACTTTTAATCTTGACCCTAACATCTAAAACTTAGCACCAAACACTTACCCTTAACCATAACTCTAACCCCCTAGCAGGTGCGCCAAAGAAATGAGATCTTGCCATTACTTAATATACCCATCGTCAGAGACTGAAGAGTCGTGCGCTGCAAGCGCGGATGCACGAGCATGCGAGGGTCGGACCCGAATTCAGATGTAGCAACCCATGCCGCGCAAATGGTACTTTGAGGCCGTTGAAATTGTAGACTTGGGGCGACAGTCATACGGCAAGGATGGTGCAAAAAGCCTGGATGTCCACCGACTGCCTTGTCAACCGCCACATCAAGTTGCCTCTCCTCTATATGTTTTGACGTGGCTTCTTGTCGGGGACAGTCACGGCGAGGGACAATCAGAGCCGTCACTTATCTTAGCGACCGATGAGGGTGGAGACGATTTACGTCACGGTGATATGCGGGTCGGATGCAGCCACACAGGCGACATTAGCAAAACACGCATAAAATAAAGTAAGTCATATTATGTGGCCATGATTATAATAACCCCCCCCCAGTGAACGACTCCCCTCACTTTGGCACATACATATATTCCACTGCTCTTCGCATGTAGATAATAATGCAAACAACGTTGTGGAGCCGGGGCAATGATTAGCAGGTATAGCTATCTAACTTCGTAATCATCCATGCGCTACAATGCTATCTGCTGATTTACCTCAAGTCTGAAGTGGCACGCTGACTTCAATTTTAGTAAATAGCACTTTGGCGGCGAGCTTATTGCCACCTAACTTCCTTCATTGTCGAGGATGCCTCGACCTGCAGTCCTGTTGGCCTACGGTTGGTCGGTTTCGACTACGTAGGTGTTTTCCGTTGGCTTGCTGCAATATACTTTTGATTTCTTTCATATTTGGTTTTGCAATTAATAGAAAATTTGGCACCATTGCAGTATCTATCGCACGCAATCCTTGTTCACATTTAATTAGAGAGCATCTGAACATCTTTGACTTTGGGCATTCTCAACTTCAACAATCCTACTTTGGATGTATCGTTCGCACATCTTGCCCCTGTCTAATTGTCCAGTGTCTTCAACGATCAGTTTATTTTCGCTACTTAAACAGCGCATACCAGGTCCATTCTTTGCACTATTTTATTGGTCCTGCGTATGTACTTACCTAATTGAGCGTTTTAACCTTAACTTCCGCTTGGACTACTCGAAAGAGATAATGGCGTGAATGCCATTTGCGGACGCTGTTTCCGCTCCCGTCATCCCCAAAGCCCCTACCTTAATACCACCTCCGTATCACAGGAGTCATTGAAATCAATTTTCTCAGTGGGGCCGCAAACAGCATGCTTGTCCCGACTTTTTTTCCAGGTGCGCAGACGATGTTTAGTGGTTTTGCGCGCATAGCGTAGTACCTCAACTACCTCCAATTCCTAAGAAACAATGACTTCGCGTCTTGCCGCGGTGATGGACTGAATGAAGGGGGATCGACGGCTTTGCAACGCGCAGAGATCTCTTAATTGCATCATTCAAGATGCCTTTGTAAACTGCATGCTTCTGGTGTTTCTTTTGGTCTCAGAATACGGGCTGTCCTCTGCGTGTTGTCTATTGTGAGTTCTTTGGGGTGGCGCATCGCTCATTTTTGGATTTCACTAGTTGCTAGTGGTATTGCGATGCGGGAGTAGGTGGAGCTGTCACTGGCATAGACGCGTGTACAACCTACGCAGTACTGCCTAAGAGTAGGATCTGTACAACGCCGCGCGCGTATGTGCATCGATTCTGTTGTGTGCCCGTGACTGCACCTCATGCGCCTGACGTCATTCGCCTGTTAACAAGGCTGCTGCCCTTGCAGGTACACTCACGACCAATGAGAAATTCAGCTCACTCACGCTCATTCAGATGTGCACTAACTTCCCTCGCTCAGCGGTTCACGCCCGCCCCTTACCTTCTTCTCAGTCATGACTAAATATCCGCCTTAGCAGCTCTCAGGAGCCAAGCTGGATGCCAAACAGTGTCTAGGGGAGTTAAAATAACTGCTCCATCCGGATGGAGTACACTTAGTCATCGTCCTCCAAAAGCCGACATGGAATATTGAGGGCGAAAACAACAAATTTGCTTAGAAACTCCAATAGCCGATAATTGTATTTTTATAACTATCCGGCTAGACAGAACTGCCTACTTTACACAAAGGTACAGATGAATTTTGAGGCAAACTTTGTTGAGGACATCATGTGATGTATTAGAGATGCAAAACGACATTATGTATATTTATGACCTAACAACAGACGGTCATTTTGCAAACCACTATCTGGGTAGGAGTTGGTTGCGCTGTCCTAGTTCAAAGTGTAAGCGAAATGTGGGCATTGCAACTGAAGTAATCCAAATGACGATACGGAATTCGTAAGTGGGAAAGTAGCCAAAGCTGAAGAGGAAACGGAGAACCTGATGTTCCGGTTAAGGGGTAGGGCTAGCTTTAAGGTTGGGTTAGTATGAGGCTGAGAATTGAGTTTAAGGTTTGCGTTTGTGTTAAATTTAAGGGGTCCGGGTGAAGTTAGGTTTTTGGATTGCAGATTAGATTTACGTTAAATGTTTAGATGGTGATTAGGGTTTATGTCAGAATGAGGGGTTAGGTTAAGGTTATGATTTGGGTTAGGGGGAAGGGTTTGGTTTAAGATTTGGGATTAGGCTTATGGTAAGGGTCAGAGTTTGCAGATGCGTAGGTTTCTAACACTGACAATTTGAGGAAATCAGCCGAGCGAACTTCTGCATCATCGTTTCAACGCTGCTGTCGCGCGCGCACGTTCTCAGCCATTAAGATAAGAGAATTTTTTACAAACACTCCGCTTCTTCGAATAGAAGGTAGAAATTGATTGCCTTCTCAGACCTGCTCCGTGTGCATTCACGCCTTCACTTGCTCCTGTGGGGCAGCTTAAATTAATTGAACAACTTGACGTCCATCCATGCGAATACGAGAGCACCATCCTGGTTGGCCAAATCAAGGTGTGGAAAAGTCCATCTGTACCACGGCTGTGGCTCACTTGTTTGACAGTGGCCATCGGCTAGACGTCAATTAAGCATTCCGAGTCATCTATGAAGTACCCGCGGCGTACTCCAAGTTCCTGCATCAGTGGATACTTGAGACGGCAAAGACAGCGGACACACGGTTAACCAACCCGACCTAGTACTCGCATAAATTATTTGTGCAGGCGCTAAGGCTCCCGTGGTCAAAGACAAGACCCAGCATATGCGTTCACATAGACCATTTCGCGTTACAGCGATAAAACGGGAATAACTAATTGCCAGTCACCTTTACATTCTCCCGCCTACCCCCAACCACCTGACTGAAATAAACTCTGACGCCTGGCCTCCGAACGTTCCTCAACCTTCTCTCCCATACCGACTTTTATTGGCTGTTTAGTTTTTGCTACATTGTCCTTCCTTATATTACTTTACATGTCTGATGACTAGCAATCGAAAACGTGCGTTTATATGTCCAGAATTATTAAGAATTTCAAAGTGACTTATCGGTTTTCTGGTTTTTCATTGACTCTACTGTTGTCTGTCCCAAAATGCTGCTTAACCAGAAACTCAGTCTTTAAGTGGCGCTGCATGAAATCCATAATCTAGTTTGGATTCAACTTCTGATATGTTAGTTGACTTTTTAATTAAGAGGAGGACTACTTTGTCAGAATTTTGGACAAGATTTCAGAGAGAAGCACAAACGTTCACCTATTAACTCCAGAAAAACAAGATTGTCTTTACAAAACGGCTGCTGAAACTCAATATTTAATGACTCGCCTAAATTGTCCACCACCTCAATAGTTGACCGAATTAAATATAGCTTACAAAAGGACGTAGCCGCTAACATACTGAGTCATCGATATTAAAAAGACCTCCATCCACCATTTGAGTCATCGGCACTGGGCAGAATATCAAACCGAGTTTTCGAAATCTGCATGCGGGGTTTGATTGTGTAAACAGGGCTTGTCAAGAAACGTCTACTTAGATAACCAGAGGACTCTGTCTGACGCCGTACTAAATTTGCCCAATGCGGTCAACGTGAATGTGCCAGATGTCATATAGGTTGCAGTGGTAGCAGAAAATCCTGTTGATTTCCTTGCA